CTAGAAACACAAGTGCATTAAATGCTGAGAATATTTATTTCTGACACTTTTCTTGATTGTTGAGCTTCAATCTTAAAAAAACACATATATTTCAACGGCTTTCTAGTCTTTTTAACTTAGCTTGCATCCAAAAGTTACTATTTAAAGTAACTTTCTCTATATAAAAAATACATCCAAAAAGGAAATTCTCTAAATAAAGAGAACGGATCTCTAAATAAAGAGAACGGAGGGAGTATTTAATTAGTTATACATATATATATATAATTCAATACTTCTCTTGTAAGCTTGCTTGCAATAAGAATTCTCTTAGCATAAGTCTCTTTTACTTGAAAGTTCATATGGTCTCAAAACACCTTCTACTCGACGAGGTAGTTCAGCGGTAAAGAGCACTTGTAGGATTGATTACAATGACTTAGGTCATGGGTTTGATCTTCTGCAACCGAACTCTTCCTGGGCTAGCCCCTTTGAGTCTGAGGATGTGTAGGGATTAGTCAGGTTTACGTGGACTATTAAAACGAACACGGGCCTCGACACCTCATTCAAGTATCAACAACACCTTCTTGGACTTTCTCACGATTTCCTTTCTATCAAATAGATTTTGGTTAACAATTCTTTTGGTTTTTCTTCAAATGTCTTTGTTTCTACTTTACATTCAGAACTATCTCTATTGTTTTTATTTTGTCTTTCCATTAAAATCATAGCAACTACCACGATTTATCCGGCACAAGATCCTACAAACCATTACTATCTCTATCCCAATGAGAGTCCAGCTTAATTTAGTTCTAGATTTCTCTAGTTTTAACATGAGCAAATTATCGTATCTGGACCATATAACAAAGGACGTCTCATGGCCATTTTCTCTAATTCTTAGTTTTTGTAATTTTTATTGTATCGGAAGCCATTTATTACTTTCTTAAGAAACGACACTCATTTAAATATTGTCGTTCAGAACATATAGTCGCCATATTGTCGCCTCCTCGATTGCCTGCCACGTTTTCTCATACCAATAGCATAATAATGTTACACCAGAACTATAGGCATTGCTAGGATGTTATTTTGAAAGAGTCAAATAAATTTCTTTTAAGCTTTTAGGGGAATCAAATATAATTTTTTAATGATCACAATGTAATTTTTCACAATAAAATTTTCTTTTTTAAAAAATTTTTTAGGGTGGCCAAGGCCCCTTGGGCCTCGATTAAACTCTGCCCTCTCCAACCACATATGAGCCTGCAACCAATCATCATTGTTAGGATGAGATAAATAAATTCCACATAATCTATATTGATAATTTTACTTGATAATGCAGAATATGTACATTGAAAATTTCATCCATTTAATGCTTTAATGCTTTGCTGGTGGTTGATTGATAAAAAAAGAGGAAGAACATAAGTTTTGAATTTCAAATTAATTTTCATTCTCTTTCCTCCTAATCTAAACCTAAATTTCAATTTTAACAGCAAAATAGATAATTACTGCTTAATGATCCTTGCTCATTATGAGTCAAAAATCTATTTTCTATTAGAGTAGTGCTAAATGGCACATGTATCAGGCTCAACATGAATTTTTGATTGGCCAAATCATTTATCCATGTTATTTATTAAAAAAATCTTATGGCATCCCAACCTTGCGAAGGACATATTACACACCTGAAGTTATAAATTTTAATAATATTGTACCCTTCTCTATATTAGTACTAATATGTTTTTGGTGTATTTAGTATTTATGACAGCTTATTTTCGCAAGTGTACGAAATCGCAACAAGTAATATAGAGTAAGAAAGTATCGTATCCACAGGGATTGTTTATCAATTATTTATCTTGTTAACCTATATATTATTTAGACGATGATAAAAGAATTCGCTGTAAAGTAATTAAAAGTGTAAAGTAAAAAGAAATCGAACACAAAATTCAGGGTGAAAAAAATCACAAAGGATAAGATACTAGGGATTTGATTCATTCAATTGCTATCCAGTTATTCATATTGAGTTCATTAATCAAAGTTTAATTGTTCAGTAGGAGAAACAAACCCCTAAGGTTAACTAACAAGCTCTTGCCCATCTATTGTTAGCTATTCGTAATCAAATTTAATACCTATGTATAGTGAAAATAAACATAAATCAGAATCATTAGTTTTATGTTGTTTTGGGAACTTCACAACTTAATAATTTATTAACATTAGTGGAAAACCCCCCTTGATCAAACCCATATTAGTTTCCACATCAAGGTTTATTATTCTCAAGTAAATTATTACTTTTTTCATATCCAATAACCCTTCTCCCGAATGTGGATTATTGAAATAAGATCCCAATCCAGGGAAATTTTGCCTGGAGGCTAAGCACAGCATAATAAGTTATAACAAGCAACAAAGAAAAATAAATCTAATTAGTATAAGCTGGAATCGAAATTAAATTACATCCAAAATCCCTAGCATAAGGAGTTTAGCTAACATAGATAATTAAATTAAACTATCATCTTAATCATCCATCATAATTAAAGACATATAATAAAAGAAAGATAACCAAGATTGAGAGTTAGAATAAAAAAACATATCCACAACTATGTTGATGGCTTCCTTGAATTCTTGACAATTATTTTAGATGCTGAATTCTTTTTGAGAGAGGGAAATTTATGTGAAGAATTGCATAAGAACCGAGAGCCTTTGTTAGGAGAAGTTCCTCTCGTTTATATATATATAGAGTTCTTGAAGGCAAGTTTGACTCCTTTTAGGAAATAGAATCCTTATTTAGTGCAAAATCCTTTATAGGAGATCATAACTGTTTAGGTTCTTGATTTTTTCTTGATTAGGACTCCTTTTTCCCCAAGAATAGGTCCAGGTCTTGTTTAGTGTGTTTAGGAAACTCTCCGAGGTTGGCCCATGTGAGAAAAAGCTTGATTTGCGCATTAAATTCTCGCTAGTTCCGCCTGCGCAGCACGGGCGTGCTTCCTAGCACGGGCTGGATGTGCTTTGAGGCACGGGCGTGCCAGGTAGCACGGGCTGGGCGTGCTTTTCTCTGGAAGTCTGGCCAATGAAACACGGGGCGTGCTAGGTAGCACGGGCTGGTGAAGCATTGAGGCACGGGCGTGCCAGGTAGCACGGGCTTGGCATGCTTTTCTCTGGAAGTCTGCCTAAAGTTGCCTTGGGCGTGTTATGCTTGACACGCCTTGGGACCCTTGTAGTACGGCCGTGCCTTTTAGCACGGGCTGGGCGTGTTACCAGTTAAGTGCCTTGTGTTATAAGGTTCTTTTCTGTGCCAAATTCCTGAAATTTTCTCTTAGTAATTTCTCTTAGAATCAAGCGGATTTTAAAATAGTCAAGGAGCTGTTAAACATAATATCTAAAAGTGATTTTAAAATAATAAAAACTTACCTTTCAAATTTCTTAATAAAACTATATTAAAAATACTATAAAATTAACACCTATCAATTATAGTTTAAAATATTCAAATTGGAGTATGGTTAGTATTAAATTTATTAATAGAAACATAATTTTCACCATTTTTCAATTATTCAATAAGTTTTTTCAATTATTCAATAAGTATTTAATTAATATAATTTTTTAAGTTTGAGCATTCAATAGAATAATTTTTATAAGTTGAAGCATTTAATAGGTATAATTTTATAAGTTGAAGTGTTCAATATATCAATATAGGGGTGAATCTATGCATTGGACCATCTTTGATTGTGCATTTATCTAGTTGGGCCACATTAGAGGTATGTGAAAAAAAAAAAAAAAAAAATCCTATTATTATTTTTCTTTATATGGTTTTGAGTTTGGAAATTTTTAAGTAAAATTTAATCTTATATTAAGTTATATAAATTGTAAATATTCAAACGAAAATTAGGAAATCCAAGGCTAAATTTCAGTATAATTAAAATTTACTTATCGATCAATTGTCAAATTCTGCATAGTTTGGTTTTAAAAAAAAAATTAATCTTTTGCTTATTTTTCAGTTCTTTGATCTTAATTAGAAGTTTTGAAATTAATAGAAACTAATAAGTATATATAGATTATTAAATAACTAGATAATTATGACTTCTTTTTTACATAACTATATTTATATAGCAACAATACAATTTATTCTCTTATTTATTTATATATTTTATTGGTTAATTTATTTTTTTAAAATTTAATTAATATTAATAGAAAATTAATAAAAATATACAAATTATTAAATGACTAGATAATTGTAACTTTTTTTTTAAAAACTCTACCTATCTATTAAAATTAAAATTTATCATTTATCTGAATACTTTAATTGGATAACTTAAATTTATTTTTCAAATTTATTTAGTATTAATAAAAAACTAATAAATATATACAGATTATTAAATAACTAAACAATTACGATTTTTTTTAAAAATATCTATCTGTTAAATCTAAAAATTATTTCGTCATTTATATGTATATTTAATTGGATAACTTATTTTTCAAAAATTATTTAATATTAACATAAAACTAATAGATATATACAAATTGTTAAATAATTAGATGTTATATGTTGACTTTGAAATGTTATATATTAGTTAGCAAATTCCATCCTCCGTCTAATATGGTATTTAGAAGTTCTATTTGCCAATCTGGCTTATCTTGAATAAGTTATTGATCGATTGATTTATTATATATATTGAGTTTGTTTATTCACGTTATTTGTATATAATTGAAATTTACAAAGACTTAAAATATTATGCTACTGTAAATAATGTTATAGTTTTTTTTTATTACAAATCATTTTGATATTTACCATTATAGAATTATTTCATTACAATTTTGATTGATCTTTTTAACAATTTGATAATTCATACCGGTGTATAAAAAAATAATAATATAATCAACTACAATAATTATTAGAATAATAAAACATAATAACATAATCAACTACAACAATTATTAGAGTAATATTTAAATATCGGTTTTTGGACTAGTTATATTTAAAGATAAGTGTTTATTTTAAAGCAAGTAGTCTACCTTTAAGAAAATACATTGCAACAAACAATCATTTAACAAGAACTTCAATCTAAGAAGCTGCGAAGAATAAAATGAAAAATGAAAAGAGAAAGAAGAGAAAATTCTATCCTGGAAATTTATTCTAGTGAATAGACAATTTCTTTGAAGGTAGCTGCGTTGTCCAGGAAAAGAGGTATGTAAGCATCAATACTCCCATCACCGATGAATGAAGGTAGAAGAAACAACATTCCTTCAGTTGGAAAATAAGAAGGCATAAATAGATATGGATTCCCTCCTCCAAAATCAAGATCATAAAATGGAAACCTTAGCCAACTATCAACTTCCAAATTAGGGCATAAAGCTGATTTGTTCATCTCCGCAGTTAGAACCAATTCCTCTTCTTCATTCTCCGCCTTATGGGTGGCGAAGTCTATGAATGACTTGAAGTAGTTATTGTTCACCTTTAAAATGGCATCATGAATGAGCTTGGCAGCATGAGATAATGGCTCATTCACTAGGTCTTTAACTCTGGAACTTGGGAATGCCCATAGCACCAAGTTACCGAAGTACTCATTCGGTACTGGCGGACTCATTCGATTGCGACCATTGACTGAAATTCTCACGCTGGTGGTTTCAAACCTGCCGAGTCCTCGAGCTTTTGTTATGCTTCTCCACAAATGAGCAACTAAGCACTCAAAAGTGCTATAAGGTTTGTTGTTTGTCGAAGATGGTGGAGAAGCCCTGAATTTGAGCTTGGAAAGAAATGCTAATGTGAAGTGTACTTTATGGATAACAATGTCATCTGCAAAGTTATTATCCAGACAATTATTATAATTATGAAAATCTTTGACGACCTTGCTTTTGAATTCAACTCCTCTGTGTTCAAACTCAAAAATTGGAGGTTTTCTAGGCTTAAAAATGGTCCGATCATGAAAAGGAAGGGGGCTTATGTCAAGTCCTCTAGCAGCTTTTCCCCAAGCAACTAAGAAAGTGCTAGTGGATTGACCATCAGCTACTAAATGATGGGCTGTGAAGCCAATCACTAATGAGCCACAAGTAAACCTTGTGAGCTGAACTTGCACAAGCTCCTCAACATCCTTTAAGCTAGGGTGAAGACTGAGTAATATTGAAGATGGCTTTAGAGGCATCAATCCATCAAGCTTGCTGTCCACTGATGCCTCGACTAACTTCACCCTTTGTCGTTAAGAAAAAATGACAGGATCACTTTCTCATTTCTCCTGAATCTTCCTGCCCATTCCCTAAATTCTGATAAGGCCTTGCAGCGCCAAGCTTCAATGGTTTGACTGGGTGGTGTTGAGACGATAGGCATAAATAACAGCTATGTGGGTGTTTGTAAGTGACCTTATCAAATACACTAAGAGGAATAGATTGTGAATTTGAAGAGAGAATCGCCATTGTCTTATAAATTGTAACATTTCTCACTTTTTTTATTCTCACTTTCAGTTGGTAATCCCTAGTGTTTTTTCCTTATGCTATTACCCTATTACCTTCCCTAGAGAAATTAAAGGTTTTTGGAGGATCTGTAGCTATGAGGGAAAGCTCCTCTACATATATATAATTAAGGAAGAGCTTAGCCTATACCAAAACATTGCATGGTTAGTGATTTGTCTCGAAAGCCCTAGAAACAGAAGAAATAATAATTAAAACGTGTACTAGATAAGCATGGCCACGGTTCCGGAACCGGCGGTTCCGGTTCCAGAAAAACTGGAACCGGAATCGAACCGAAAAGGTCCGGTTCCGATCCGGTTACAAAACCGACGGTTTTAAAAAATTTTAAATTTTAAATTTTGAAGACCGGTTTTAAAAAATATATATATTTGAACATAAAAAATTAAAAGATACACCTAAAAAATTAAAAAATACTTTACTTCAATTAAATTTATTCTTTTTTAAATACTTGAACATAATTTATTTTTCTTTTAAAAAAAAATTTTCAACTGAATTTATTTTTTGGTTTAAAAAAAGTGAACATAATTTTTAATTTGAGACCGGTTTAAAAAAAAAATATTTGAACATTTAAAAAAATTAAAAGATACCACCTAAAAAAATTAAAAAATACTTCAATTAAATTTATTTTTTTTAAAGACTTTGAACATAATTAAAGAGATTTCACAACAAAATTTAGAAAAAAAAAAAAAAAACCTTTGACAATTTGGCTGCGAACCGCCAGTTTCGAACCCGGGCGGTTCCAGTCCGGTTCTCCAGTCCGGTTCCGACCGGTTCTCTGGAACCGCCGGTTCCGGTTCCAAAAAATTTGGAACCGGAACCGAACCGAAATTCTCCGGTTCCGGTTCGGTCCGGTTCCAGTTCTCACCGGTTCCGATTACGGTTTCGGACCGATTCGAACCGACGGTTCCGGTTCCCGGAACCGTAATACTCTAGTACTAGACATGGGAACTTGATCTGAGTTACGTAACAGAAGAAATAATAATTAAAAAGTCAAAATAATTAAAAAGTCAAAGATTGGAACATTACATCCAAAGTTAGGTATACAAATATCAGTTTTGTCAAACTTATAAAAAAATGCCAATATTTATTCATAGGACCATATCAGAGGCTATGGTTATATATTCAATATAATTGGATTGATTTTTCTCTCTTTAAGAATGTGGAGAATGAAATAATATTTATTACAGTACTCAAGTAGTGAAATAGTAAAGGGTTAAGAACTTCCCTCTTATTGTTTATAACTATAGGTCTGTCTGGCATTGTTCAAGGAAAAAATTGTCTACATTCAATGTACGTGTATATTCACTTCTATAGATGGAACTGATGCTGATTATTTGTATTTAAAGTAATCAAACATAATCGTTTTCTTATATACATCATAAATTAATTACGTGCTCACGCGATGTGCATATTATAATATTTGTATTATTATTCCTATTATTCTCCAATGCTGACCTAAGTAATTTAATAAAAAAAGAGAGAAATAAAGTGCCCAAATTCCATTATATTTTGTCCTAAATTCAAAAAAAAAAAAAAATTTATATTTATTTGAAACCATAGATCTAGCCTTCCCATAATAAAGCAAAAGGAATATTTGCTAACTATTTGTTCTGAGTCTAAATCTGAGTGCACCATATGTGAATCAATATTTCAAGGGTATCGATTCTATAAAATGAGACAAATGATGATAAAAAAAACTGGTGTATTATTTCACTAAAGTTTGGGAATCTAAATTCCAATTTTAGAAGGAAACTAAATAAAAAGATTAAAAAAGGTTAACACAAATTTAACCATGCCAAAGGTCCAATTCATATACAAACATAGTAAACAAAATAGATAAAAACTTAAAACTAATCAAATAAAAATTAAACCAATAATCTTGAAAGATCTTTTATTATTTGTAAAAAGAATAAGGTTTAAGAGAAATTAATAAAGAGCAAATTAATAGAAAGCAACAAATTCATAAATATAATTAATTAATTATTTACAAAAAAAAAGAAAAGAAAATCTATTAAAGGGATTATCTTTCATTAAAGAAAAGTATTACGTGGGGTAATTCTTGAACACCAAAAAGATCATTCGAATTTGGTTGGCAACTTTTGGTGCAACTATAAATATTGTGGCGTGTTGAAAAACTTCGATCATAGATTGTGATGGAAATTTCTATTTTTTTTCTCTACCATGTTGTTATTGGTTTCTGGTGGCTTCCTCTCCCAGAAGGTGAAAGATAGAGAGGAAATAGAGGAATTATTTATTTTTATGATCAATCTTTAGGTTACACTATTTTTGTCTGCTTTATTAATGAACTATTCAAATTTAAGGCTAAAGTTAGTTGATTACCAAGAATACAAACAAAGGGCCATTACAAAAATAAATCCCCCACATTGTATTGATAAATGATAATAATTAATAGTTATATAATAAAACAATAAATTAAAAAAAAAAAAGAATCAGAACTTCAAAGCTCTAGTTTTGTGCCATTTGAGCTTCAAAATAGATAAAAACTCAAAACTAATCAAATAAAAATTAAACCCAAATAAAAATTAAACCAATAATCTTGAAACATCTTTTATTATTTGTAAAAAGAATAAGGTTTAAGAGAAATTAATAGAAAGCAACAAATTCATAAATATAATAATTAATTATAAAAAAAAGAAAAGAAATCTTATTAAAGGATTTCTTTCATTAAAAGAAAAGTATTACGTGGGTAATTCTTGTACACCAAAAAGATCATCGAATTTGGTGCAACTATAAATATTGTGGCGTGTTGAAAAATTTCGATCATAGATTGTGATGGAAACTTCTATTTTTTTTCTCTACCATGTTGTTATTGGTTTCTGGTGGCTTCCTCTCCCAGAAGGTGAAAGATAGAGAGGAAATGGAGGAATTATTTATTTTATGATCAATCTTTAGGTTATACTATTTTTGTCTGCTTTATTAATGAACTATTCAAATTTAAGGCTACAGTTAGTTGATTACCAAGAATACAAACAAAGGGCCATTACAAAAATACAAACAAAGGGCCATTACAAAAATAAATTCCCCACATTGTATTGATAAATGATAATAATTAATAGTTATATAATAAAACAATAAATTAAAAAAAAAAAGAATCAGAACTTCAAAGCTCTAGTTTTGTGCCATTTGAGCCTTGAAGGTTCTGTTTTTATATATTTATGTAGATAGATAGATAAATAGATAGATTGAACTTATCAACAATAGATGGCTGGATCATTGGAGGTGAAGTACATTTTCAGATGAATTTTATATGTAAGGTTATAGGTTTAAAAAATAAGATTATTATTTCTATGAGGGTTTTACTTGAATATTCCATCTGTCTCTGAAATATAAGTCGTTTTAGAGTGATTGTTTTGTTTCAAAATATAAATAGTTTCAAGTATTTTAAAAACTAACGAATGATATTGTTTGATTGTTTTGTTTCAAAATATAAATAGTTTCAAGTATTTTAAAAACTAACGAATGATATTGTTTTAATATTATCCTTATTTATATTAGATACAATAACTATTTTCACAAGTTATCATAGACATTGACATAAAAAATAATTTAATTAAATTACCTTTAATTTTGTTATAATTTTAAAAAAAATTATATAATTATTTTTAATCAGTATAAAAATTTTAAGCGAATTATATTTCCGTACAAAAAGAGTACTCTCTTACTTGAATGCACGCATTTTATCCTGTCCGATAATGATACCAAATGGATTTGGTTGGTTGAGTAGTCTATAATCTAGTTTTGGTTTATGCAAAAGGTCAAAGATAGTAGTTGGGATGCAGCATCCGGGCAGTGGCACTAGTTACTTCAATTATTACTAACGCATGCCTTTTTTATCCATTACCATTAAAAGTCAAATTTTAAGTAAAATCTTGTTATCAAGTTGTTGAAATTATAAAGCATATCACGTTGTCTGCTAGCTCATTTTGTCTTAATTTGTCGACTAATTAAAAATGACTTTTGCTTATCAAAACGACAAATTAAGTCTTCTATTTACAATTTGGTCTATAACGAAATGTAGAAATATGCGAGGAATATACTGATTTTCTCAATATGATAAGAATTAGATGGGAAATATTGATACAAAGAGTAATTAGCTACCCAACCCAAGACACAAGACCAAAATATGTCAGGAAATTAATTTAGTGTTCTACATAAAGGGTTCAACGCTACTCCATGAGTTTGACTGTAATTACTATTAAGTCCTTGATTTAATTTGAATAAAGTCACTAACTTTTGTATCTATAAGACTATTTAATCTTTTGTCCAAAATGTGTCATTTTTACCGTTCATATCCTATTTTATTTTACGATTTGGTCCTTTATATTTAATATAATGATACTTTAAGTCCTTTATATCCGGTTTAATATTACTATTTAGTATATCATTCGATTTAGTTATTTAGTCAAAAGGACCGAGAAGCAATTGAGATCAAACCTCCAGAACTAGATAGTAATTACCCATATATAAATTGACGGCTTAATTTTACTCCCCCATCTTAAATTAAAAGAAATCTAACCATCGGAATGCCATGTGAAAATGTGGCTTAAAAAAAGATTTAAATTTTTATAACTCATAGATTTTTTGTGTATACCCCATACCATCTCCATTCTCCATCATCGAGCTCAATCCCAAGGAAATAAGAGAAAGAAATACAGGGTAAATTATACTCAAGGGTACCTAAATTTACATTTAATTATATAATGTCACTTAATTTTAATTTATCATTTTTTAATAACTAAACTTTGATGTTTGTTTCAACGGGAGGTTACTTACCGGAATACCATCATTAGAAATGCTAACATGACAAGATAAAATAAAATCTTTTATTCTAAAAAATTCGTATTTGCTCTTAATACATTAATTTGAAATCTATTTGTTAATTTATTTAACAAATAATATTGTTTATACGAAATAAGTTTTAAATA